TTTTTTTTTTTTGTGATTTACTCCGCCAAATCCGACAGTATTTACAGCATCCAATCAGAAGTGGTGGGGGAAATTAGAACACTCACCAAATGATCTGCAAATTTGAATTGTTTTGACAAAGATCGCATGTATAAAACCAAAGTCATTACGTATTTTTATATCAATAACCAATAATTAAATAGTTTTAAATTTGTATTATTTGCAAAAATAAGTAAATTCTTAGCGTTATAGATCATAGAAATAGATATAACTTATTGTATATAATATTTTCTTCCCGCACCTTTAATTAGTGCACCAAAGTCTTAGCTTTCAAATATTTCAGGTTCTTTTTTTTTTATCTTATAGTAATAATCAAATTACAAGAGATCTCGTGTACTGTAAAATTTTACTGCAGTTATCACGACTGCTGATTGACTGACATCTCATATGTTACGCGACAGTTTGCTGCAATTTAAATATAAATAGGCTTCTCATATTTTTTTTTTGAACATGACAATCATTATCATTATTGTCTGTTAACGTAAACTAAATTTTATATCTGATATACAGCCTTTTCTGCTTACGAAAAATATTATGAAGCTTAAGAAATCGTGTATAGATACTTTGTCTGATCCTCGTAATTATTTCAGCATATTCAAAAAAAACTTCTATTTTTTTTAATTGTTTTTTTTTTCCTACTTCTTTTTTTTTTTTTTTACTTCTTTCTTCCCACTTTTTTTATTTATTTATTCCTGTTTTTCTTACTTTTTTTCTTCCTGTTTTCCTTACTTTAGAGTACTGGCAGGGGACTTTACAGCCTAGTCTTTTGAATTTTCTTATCTATCAAAAAGAAGTTACACCAAAAGGATCCCTTAAAAAAGAACCAGAGCATCTACATTATAGAGTAGAGCTTGAGCGGATCTTGGCTTTTTACAAGCCTGAAAGCCAAGTTTACAAAAAAATAAATAAACTACTGGACAATTATGCGGTACAGTATAAAAAAAAATTTTCATATAAGACGAAGGCAACATCAAGACACATAGTTCTAAGCTCATTTATAAAACTATAATGAATGTTGTGTTTGAAACACACTAGTACTACTATTGCAGATTTTGAATCGAGGTAGGAAAGTTTCAACTCAAACACTAAGCATATAATCTATTGATTACGTAGTTGTTTGCGTTTCCTCCCATAAAGTTTGAAATCTTTCTTTATGAAAATTAGATATTTAGGTGACCATATAATAGCAAACATCATGTCTATAGATACATCGCGACTACTACTACGAGTTTCAAATCGTGGTGGAAAAGGTTTCGACTTCGTCACTGAGTATATAATCTATTTTATGTGGTTGTTTGTGTTCCCGCCGTAAAGTTTGAAATCTTATTTTAAGATATCTAGGAGACCCATAGCGTGTTCCTCCTGTAAAGTCAGAGATCTTACTTTATATGTTCCCTCCCATGAGGTTTGAGATCTTTCTTTATGAAAATTAGATATCTGGTGACCATATAATAGCAAACATCGTGTCTATAGGCACATCGTGATTACTACTACGAGTCTCGAATCGTGGTGGAAAAGGTTTTGACTTCGTCACTGAGTACATAATCTATTTGATTATGTGGTTGTTTGTGTTCCCGCCATAAAATTTGAAATCTTACTTTAAGATATCTAGGAGACCCATAGCGTGTTCCTTCTGTAAAGTCAGAGACCTTACTTTATGTGTTCCCTCCCATGAGGTTTGAGATCTTTCTTTATGAAAATTAGATATCTAGATGACCATATAATAGCAAACATCGTGTTTATAGGCACATCATGACTACTACTACAAATCTCAAATCGTGGTGGAAAAGGTTTCGACTTCGTCACTGAGTATATAATTTATTTTATGTTGTTGTTTGTGTTCCTGCCATAAAGTTTGAAATCTTATTTTAAGATATCTAGGAGACCTATAGCATGTTTCTCCTGTAAAGTAAAAGATTTTACTTTATGTGTTCCCTCCCATGAGGTTTGAGATCTTTCTTTATGAAAATTAGATATCTGGTGACCATATAATAGCAAACATCGTGTCTATAGGACATTGTGATTACTACTACGAGTCTCGAATTGTGGTGGGAAAGGTTTCGACTTCGTCACTGAGTATATAATCTATTTAATTATGTGGTTGTTTGTGTTCCCACTATAAAATTTGAAATTTTACTTTAAGATATCTAGGAGACCCATAGCATGTTCCTCCTGCAAAGTCAGAGATCTTACTTTATGTATTCTTTCCCATGAGGTTTGAGATCTTTCTTTATGAAAATTAGATATCTAGATGACTATATAATAGCAAACATCGTGTCTATAGGCACATCGTGACTACTACTATGAGTCTCAAATCGTGGTGGGAAAGGTTTCGACTTCGTTACTGAGTATATAATTTATTTTATGTAGTTGTTTGTGTTCCCGTCATAAAGTTTGAAATCTTATTTTAAGATATCTAGGAGACCCATAGCGTGTTCCTCCTGTAAAATAAGAGATCTTACTTTATATGTTCTCTCCCATAAGGTTTGAGATCTTTCTTTATGAAAATTAGATATCTAGGTGACCATATAATAGCAAACATCGTGTCTATAGGCACATCGTGACTACTACTACAAGTCTCGAATTGTGGTGGGAAAGGTTTCGACTCGTCACTGAGTACATAATCTATTTGATTATGTGGTTGTTTGTGTTCCCGCTATAAAATTTGAAATCTTACTTTAGGATATCTAGGAGACCCATAGCGTGTTCCTTCTGTAAAGTCTGAGATCTTACTTTAGTAGAAATTAGATATCTAGAAGACTTTGTATTCCCTCCTATTAAGTTTGAAATATCTTACTTAATAAAAATTAGATATCTAATGAGACCATATAGCAAACATCGTGTTTATAACACATCAGCAACTACTATTGTGCGGTTTTGACCCACAATGGGAAAGGTTTCGACTCAGTCATCGAGTATATAATCTATTGATCATATGAGTGATTGTGCTTCCTCACGTTAAGTTTTAAATAGCTAACTTTAACAGAAATTAGATTACAGATACATCATTGGCTATTATGATGGGTTTTTGATCGACTGCAGGAAAACTTCTACTCCGTCATTAAGTACACTATATTCGAATTATATAGTAGTTTGTACCCCTTCTCTGAAAACTCAAAATCTTATATATCTAAGTGGCCTTCGTGAGCATAATAGTGCCTGAAAATATTACCTTCTCTTATAACAATGACATTTTTGCTTTATTATATGCTAAATTAACACTTATTTCCTTATTATCTATCAAGCTCGAAACAAGTTCTGGTATAATAAAACAACTTTGGAATGTGTATACAATTGAAAGTGAACTGGAGGTATGTGAATTTTATAACTAATTTAATGATTTTTTAATCAGTTGGATAATTTGCATACGTATGCATATACCAATGTTGGAAATCTGGTTTGAGATTTATGTACTTATGAGAACAAATTTATTTAATTTAAATGTTCTCAGAACTTTATTTATGTATTTATCAATAAAATTTATTTATATTCCTATTTTTTAAATTTTATTATTTCAGAAAATATCAGATATTAATTCAAATTTTTGTCCCAACTCTTCTCGTCTTTCATGTTCATTCATTTTCTTTTTGAATGATTTCGGAACTTCATTCAATTTCTAATTTTAGTTCCATCTTGACATTTATACTAATATTATACTTATATAGAAAACATATTTTTGAGTATTATGTTTTCAATTTTTTTCATGGAGAACATTTATAGAATATCAAATGTTCTCGAAACTAAAGATTTCCAACACTGGTACTGTATGCATATATGCATGTATGTATGTAAAATTATCAACTGATTATTAGAAGAAGATTCTCAAAGGGCAAGGCATTTAATAGAAATGCTAAAATAGTCTGTTGTTGATCGTGATGTTTTTGTAGAAGTTGGTTGGAGGGACACTCCACTAAATGAAATTTCAACACCATGGACTAAAATAGACCTTGTGATTTCTGTCTTAAAAGTTCACATAAGCCCAAAGCTCTATTCTGCCGCAAAGGTGCTCAAGGCATTAGAAAGCAAAAAAAAAGTTTTCAATAATAACATTAGCTTGTTGAAACTTCTCATGTTTATTGGAGAATTTTTTAGGAAAATAATATAATTACTATGACATTGATGTTATTACTGTGGTTGTAGCTGTGTTATCTATTGTTTCATATAAGTCCACTCCATCTTGCGGTCTTGGAAGCCTACCCCGGAAAACCATATCAAGATTGAGCTTTGGGCAAAGATCTTGTCTGCTGCAGTAACTCTTCACCATTAAGAATTTTTATCTGTATGGGAACTACAACATTTGATACCTGGTAATACTGGTCATGGTTCATTACAATCCGATTTTGCGGCAATAGTAACCAATCAGAACAACACCCAATTTGCATTTTTTTTTGGTAGAGTTTAAACGAGATGGTTTTGAATGACATAAAAATAATGTGGTAATTGTAGCAGAAGCTACACATGAGTTCAATAAGGTTTTGTCTTTAGCATATAATCCATCAGAAGATGAAGTCAACAAAACCCAATTGCTTTTTGGATTAGTAAATGCAGCAACAATTCATTTTGGCATGCTTAAACCTGTATATGATGAAAGGCATTCAAAACTGATTTATATTTGGGATGAAAACACTTACATTTAATCTTTATAACCAAGATTCTAAGACAAACATTGAAAATGCACTTAAGTTGATAACTTATTTGCGTAAAGCTGTATGTGCTGATGGCATGCAGATTCGGTCATTGTTACAATGGCAGCCAATAAAATTCAATTATAAATTGAAAATAGCACTGCTGAAACTGCCTAATGAAGCAGTAAAATTACGACCATTCAAAACCAAGCACACACCGATAGATAAAAGGCCGAGATATGTTATTGAGGAGGACAAGGAGAAGGAACTATCAAATGAAATTTAATAAGTATATTCGAAAATTAATGTGATTCAAGAACAATAAAATTGTTTTCAATAAATTTGGATTCTATAGTTTTGAGACTCAAATTTTATTGCTATGGCTGTTTCAAAAATGTGAATGATGATTTTATATACTTACAGGTAGGAATAGGTTCGGTTAGGTTATAGCCGGCTAGTTAACCGGCTATAGCTGTAGTCAATGATAGTCGACTAGATCAGCTTAGCTGACCGGCTAGCCGATACCAAATTTTTTATTTCCTGGTTGATAAATCATAATTATTGCTTAAATTTGGCATGAAATGCACAATTTACAGAATTATTGCAAGAAGTACCCTAGCTGTTCATCATAGCAGATTCTCAAATTTGATTGCCAAGAGTGATGATCAAAAATTTAGGATAAAATTTCCTAATGAAATCATATCTACACATTAAGTAAAAAATGTTCCTGAACTAATTTTACCATAGTAGAGGTCTATCTCCCTAAAAATTTCTATTATTGTAATAAAAAAGTTGGAAACTTAATTCCGGCCAAAAATTACGTAACAATTGTATAATGCGAGTCAAAATTTTATAGACCACGGCATTTAGCTAATTAAAATGAGAATTTAAATAGATGTGACAGTTAATGCTTTAAAGTATTTTTGTCGATGATTTGTAATACAGAATTTTAATAATAATAATAATAATCAAACAGTTTGCAAAAATGTATCCAATTCAATAAATTTTTTTCATTTTAATTCTATAAACTTACAGAATTAAAATAAAAAAAAAATTTATCAAATTTAAATCAATGGTTGTTAAGAAATCTTAAAAAAAATGTTTTTTTAAATTTTTAGTGAAAATTTCTCAACCATCCATCAAATTTCGATAAATTTATTTTTATTTTAATTATACTTTTAAAAAATTTTTGAAGAATTTAATCAATCAGTTACAGAGAAGGCTTCGCTATAACCTTGAAAGTTTTTCTGACCAATCTACATTTTCAAAACAATCTAATTCTGGTCAAATTTGCAGATCGTTGGCCTATTGGGGATGAGTTTTAAACTCATCCCCAATAGGCCAATGACCTGTAGATTTGACCAGAATTAGATTGTTTTGAAATGTAGATCGAGATCTTCGCTATGGTCAGGATATAAAAATATAATTATTTGGCACTTGTTTATATATTTTTGTGTTTTACTGAAAAATTTATTAAGAAATTGATAAAGTAATTTATTGGCTATAGTCGGCTAATAGTCAATAGTCAATGATAACTGACCGATAACTGACCAAACCCATCACTATTTACAGAATTAGATGAACACTACTGGTGCCCTGCTTTTTCTTCTATTAGTCAATGTGGCTGAGTTCATATGCATTTGAATTATCATGATTTCTCTATCAGTTAATGTAAAAATTCTTACAAAACTTGCTCATCATTCTAGTGACATGTAACGTGTGGTTAAAATTGTGTTAGTTTTCACAGAATTATTATGAATTCCATAATGAGTTATTGTAAATAAATTGCTACAAAACTTATTCAATATTCTAGTGATACATGGTATGTTGTTAAGGTTGAACTGGTTTATAATAAATTACTGTAAATTTTATCATGAATTACTGCAAACCATTTTGTTACAGAACTTATTATATATTACTCTTTTCTATTTAGATTTGATCAGCTTGTGATTTTTTTGTAAGGAGAGTGAGTACTATATGTATAATTCTTAAATTTGTTATATTTATGAAACCTATATAATATAAAAATAAAAATGCTAAAAAAGTATTTACTAGTTCTGAAAATATAACTAATTGCCCATATTGTAATTGTGGGACTCACGAAGCTCACAAAAAATCACATAGTGATCAATCCGAAAAGGGCAATAATGCAGTATACAATAGTTAAATTTTAGTTTATTTGTATTGATATTACAATGATTTTCATTACAAGTTAGGTAAAACATTCTTTTTGGAAATTATTTGCTATTCCAGTGATTGCAGTATGTTTTTAAGGTTGTGTAAGTTTGTATTGAAATTTCATGGCTTTTACTATAAGTTAGTTACATAAAAAATTCTATAACACTTACCTGCTATTCTGATAACCACGATGTGGATGAGGTTGAGTTAGCTTGCCTTAAGTTTATGTGATTAATATCAAGTTTGTTTGTATTGAAGTTATTATTTTTTCATAAAGAAATCTGTTGAAATGCCTCACTATTTTGGTGACTAAAGTATGCGATTAAGATCAAGTTAGTTTGCATGAATTATCATATTAGAATTATTGTGATTACTACTATAAAAAATTCTGTTATAAAACTCACTATTTTGGTAAACACAGTATTGGTTAAAGTTGAGGTAGGTTGCATTAGTGATGGGCAAATCGCAGTTTTTTCAAAAATCACACATGGGATAGAATCATAAATCTATGGGTTTCTTAATTTTTTGTTTCCAATAAAGAACCATGCAAAAATTATTAATGAAAATCAAATTTATTGTTCTGCCATAAATTTTCAAAATGGGCATGGAAATTGTTGATATTTCGAGAATTTATGATAAATATATTAATGCAGGCCAGATATTATATTAATGCCAGTCAGATGGTATTACGCATGGATCATGTGCATGCTTAGTATTCCGCATGATACGGTTCCAGGCGGGTCTTGTTAAAAACTGTACCCAAACTGTCACATGATATTGGGTCCTTATACAAATCCGGAGCCGTATCATATAGATCTGGAACCAAACCGTAGAACCGATATGAAATATAGAACATAGAACTTTCAATAATATTTATATCGGGTCTTTTACTATTTTTTATTGTTCTACAAATTATTGTATAATTATTATATCATACGTATTACTAATACATTTTTCAGATTACTGACGCAAATATGATCGATTGATATTAATAATTAATCAGAAAAATGAGTAAAACCGTATCGGACACATTTCTTAATAAATTAGATTGATTATATCCATTAAAAATATAATTGAAGTCTAAAGTCTTATTTTTACTTACTATAATTAATTTATTTATTAAAATTTTATAAAATTTAATATTGATTATATAATAAGTTTTTTAAAGCAAAATTGCAATTTATTATTTTACCATTTAGTTTACCCTAACTAAGCTTATATCCGCCAAGAATTTTATAACTTCAACTCTTATAACTGCATTTTTTTTTTTTTTGCTTATTATATAAATTTCAAAAAAAAAAAAATTATAAATTTTTTTAAAAAAAAAAATTCATTTAAATTCTTGCCACCATGACCTTAAACACATTGCTGCCCATATAGTTTTATCTGCCAACCTATTCCATTTTTCTGTAATCATATCGCTGCTAATACTAAAAATTTCTTCACTTGACACACTTGTTCCAGTACAGGAAGACAATTCCGCGCAAACTTTGCAAGATTTGGAAAGTTTGTATCATTTTTGCGCCACTATTCCAGAACATCTTTTTCTGAATCTGCGAGAGGCATCATAAAATAAGTATCCAATTTGCTAGGATATTCAGTATAAGCTTGTTTATAAATCCTCTTTGTAATAGTAATTGGAGATAATTCAAGAGTAGAGTAAGCATTTTGGTTAGGAATAGGTGCATAGCTATTTTTATATTTGTTTTTAATGCTAAAATATTATATTAGTAAAAATCAATATTTATAAAAATAAAACAAATAAAATAGATTACCTACATATTTTTAATCTGAGTAATAAGATGCGATAACCAGCCAAGCTCTTCAAAGTATTCAAATTTAAGTCTTGGATCCAAGACTATTGCCACGAAATGCAATATATTTGTTTTTTCACAATAGTTTAGAAGTTTTTTTTTTGCAGCATCGCACCCTTGAGAAAGCCATTCTGATATTTCATTATTTTTCATAGAGTCTTCAAGAGTTTTAAGCAATTCATGATAAAAAGGCACAACTATTGATAATGTAAGATATGACAAAGATGACATAATAACCGTTGCTTCTTTAAACGGTTGCAAAATTTCTACAAGTTGGTTTAATCTATTCCATTCTACTTTAGTAAGAACATTATTATTTAAATCACCCTCAGCACGTGCAACAGCATCCAACATATTTTTAGTTTCAAAGCTCGTTCGACCATTTCACAACTTGAGTTCCACCTAGTAGCAACATCAAGAATCGGTTTCAATACCTCCATATTATTGATTTTGCATATCATTTTAAACTTCTTACGAAGTGGTCGTGAACCCCTAATGCTTTTAATTAATGTGCACAACTTTTTAACTTCACTACCTACATATGTAAGTAAATTTTGCATAGCAAGGTTTAAGACATGACCAAAGCATCGAATTGATTGTTGTATACAATCAAATTGAACTCCATTCTGTGCTACAGATTTTGAAAACTCATTTAAAAATTTAATATTAGCTGGTGCATTATCATGCGTAATTGAAACTAATTTAGAAATTAAACCTATTGATTGAAGACAATCTTCTAATGCATTAGAAATTTCTATACTACTGTGTAGTCTATCTATATAGATAAAATCCAACAATAAATGTTTCATATGCCATGAATTATCTAGATAATGAATGGTAATCACTATAAATGATTTTTTATAAGTGCTTGTAGTCCATATATCGGTTGTTAATAAAATACCACCTGGAACTTCTTGTAGTTTTTTTTTAAGTATCCTATGTTTATTACCAAAAACATTCATTATATGCCTTTTTATAGAATCAGAAGATGGCACTAAATAAAAATATTTGAGTTAAATATAATATTATATTATACTAAATAATAATAATAACATACTATATAAATATTATACCTTTCGCTTGAGGCTCTAAATACAAAATTATATCTTTAAGTCCATCATCTTCAATTAGATAAAATAGTCGATTATGCATAATAATCCATTGCTTAATCATATTACTGAGTTTTTCTTGATCAAACTTTTCACGCTAATTAACTTGCTGGTTATTTTTTAACATGTCCAATACAGAAGTAGATCACTTCTTATTATTATTATCCAATTCCAACACTTTATTTATATGAGTACGAAGCTTAAGGTGTTTCCTAAGATTTGAGGTTGAAGCATCATCCGCATATTTTAGCAATTTATTACAAATTTTACATTTGACAAACACCTCATTCTTTAATAACGCCTCATTTTTTTATAACTCCCCATTCTCCTCATTATTCGGCTTTTGCTTCACAAAGTATCTCCATACAAACAATCCATTATTTGTAGTACCAGGTTCTGACTCTAAAGTGGATGTTGGCTGTATAGCCTCAGTTCTGTACAAGAATACTATTTCATTATCCTCAGACTTATATGATGGTGATGATGGTGTAGGTAAGACTGACATAACAACTTATATAAAAAATAAATTTAATTGTCAAATTTAAAATGTTATGAATGTTACAGATCTAATTAACCAAGTTTACTTACTTAATTCATGCTTATATACGAACACCAAGTTAATTCACAAGAAAAAAGTGCTGTGGGTTAATCAAAAAATAACTAAGCACTCAAAATTTGCTCAAAATTCAAATGTGCACAGCACTTATTTATGTTCTCAACTTTTCTTCCTTTAGTTTAACACCTAACAACACCTTTAAACTACGACTTCGTAACTTCCTCCACACAAAGTTTGACTACAGTATATAATGACAAGGCACAGGTATGTTGTAATTCAAGTAAAATCAAAGAATGTGTTCGATCTTACAGATCGAACCTCTTATTTATTTATTTCTCACGTGTGATTACATCACTAATCTAATACAATAGACTTCGATATTATATTGTTAGTTTGTAATATTTAGCTTCAAAATTACACTATGTTATCTAAGCTATCAATATTACGTCAATCTTTTCTAATATGTCTTACCTTTACTATATAGGGTCTTTGCCTTGAAAATGATCCTATAGCACTATAAAATTTTTTTTGAGTAAACAGTAAATAAAGATTGTGTAACCCAAACAATCAAAACTTGATTCTCTGCTAAT